GACACAATTTAATTGCTCAAGAGTATTTACCAAATAAATGGCAGTGAGAAAATATATAAATGTTAACTAGTGAAAGTATTCCCTATTTTTGCCTAAAATGAGTGATTCTATTGATGTCTTATGAGTTTACAAGCTTCTTGTAAGTAACCAGATGGGAAAGATATTACCAATCCCACATCCATAATTCAATAATGAATTGCTCCAGGAGGAATTGAGGTAGAAATATGTATGATTAGATTAATAGAAGTTGCTGTAAAATAACACTACTCCCAGACTGTGTCTAGCAAATCAAGAAAACCTTTGGAGGAGGGATGGGAAGCAGGGAATTGAGGTAGGATATTAAATTATTTGAGGTAGGATATTAAATTATTTAATATAGGATATTAAGTTATTTATTAATAATCAATAAATGCCAAGGTTAACTCACTTTTTAAAAATAAAATTTGAGACTTTTAATATTCACAAAACTCGCTATGTTTTAAACAGAAAGATACTGTGCATATAATATTCACTTGTTTTTTGTTCGAAAATAAGCTAGCCATCCTTATGTACAGTATCACTTTAAATTGGTTACTTTAAGTAATCACAGGAAGCAGGATGGTAACTAGGCATGTTGGAAAAGTTCAGACAGAGCTAGGTTTCAATGCAGTTTTGCCATGGCCCAACCATGTGTCCTTGGACAAATTATTTAAAATAATGTTAAAAAATAAAATAAAATAAAATAATTATTAAATTAAAATAAAATAAAATTAAAAAAATAATGTTTCAGTTAGAAAGTAAGGTTAAAGAAAACTAATTTTGTGTCTTAGCTTATTGGTATAGGAACAATTAAAATTAAATTAATATTGTGTAATTACTAGACACTAGGTATTAATAGTACTTGCCTTTTATTACTTTTTCATAGCATCCTGTGTGTTCTTCATTATAACAATTGTTTGATTAGTGTCTCTCTGCTCCTCTAGTCTATAAGTGCCATGGAGGAAGAAATGTCTATTTCGCTCACAACAGATCCCCAGTGCCTAGTTATGAGCAGCTGAATAAATACTGACTGCCTAAATAAAGGCCAGCATACTAAATTTCATGCTCATCTCCACTATATAAAGTACCTTTCTTTCCCCATTTTTAATGAGGAGATGTTACACTGGAAAGGTTAAGTGACTTGCTAAAGATCAGAAAGGAAGAAAGGGTCAGGATTGGAATCTAAGCCTTGGTCTCCTAATATACCATATTGAATACAAAATGAAAAAGCATCAATGCCATGGCATGAAAAAAGAAATAATTTCCTGCTTTTAAGGCAAGGACCATTCTTCACAAAGTTATACCAAAATTGCTTATAACAATTGTTTATAATAATCAACCTACATGCTAAAAAGTAATGACCCTACAATTTTTTTTCTTGCTTTATAGATTTTACTGTGACAAGAATGTCCTACAGAGAGAAAGGAAATCTAAGTATTAATGGAGATGTTCATTCCTCCTTATTCTATCAATAAGAAGCAAATACCATTAAATTGCTAAATCTTCACCATCTAAACAATATAAAAAAAAAATAAGAATGCTCAACCATTAGACAACTACTTATACAAAGCCTATCATATGTTGTACATAATATTTAGCACTTAGGATATAGCAGAAGATAAGACAGACAAGGAGCCTCTTATCATAGAAACTGGGTATTTTTAATATTAGGAAGCCTACTCTTTCCTTTGTATACATTTTCCAATTTCTACTGAGATAATCTAATTGTTCTTTGGAATATTTTCAGGTTCCAAGTTAATGTTATTTCTAGTTACATATTCATTGTAACTGAGTTAGATTAAAACAAAACAATTTGGAAATTTCATGGAGTTCAAGTATTTTGCAAATAAAATATTCTTCTCATAAATGTTACCACATAAGAGTTAGGGAAATGATTTTCACCCATTCTTTCCCGTGACACAAATAAACTAGCACTGGTGTGCTGTGACAAATACTTTTAAAGTGGGGAGGCAAAATGAGCATTCACCAAAATAAATAATTTACCAAAATAAATAATTTCATCCCATAATCTGGAAGCAAATCTATGAGTTCTGAACATTGCCCAAACACTGTCAGCAACAATCAAGCTTTGGACATCAGGTAGCCAGCTAATTTTAGGACTTGAACTGAATGAATATATTAGATGCTGGTTAAAGAGCACAGTTTTCCTAAGCTATAGTTCAGAATTTGGCTTTTAACATACACTATGTTAGTGAGTTATCCAATAGAATCATACCGAAAAGTCTGTACTCTTCTGAGCATTATAGAAATGAAGACAGAAAATCAATGGCAATAAACATTATATATAAGATTTATAAAAGCAAATTATAGAGGCAAAATAAAAACATAAGGATCATCCCAAAGTTATCATCAGGCCCATAATTTACAAGTATAAGAAATATAATACTCAGGGTACTCTGGACTTTCATAGGACTATACAGATAGCACTAAATAACAGATAGTGAGAAAAATAATGTCTGCTTCAATCTTTATATCAAAGTCTTCTAATCTTTATATCAAAAACAAAGCCTCAGTTTGGTGGTAATGTCTTTAACACCTCACGAATATTTACTTACTTCCACTTTAACAGAAAGTGGACCTGGATTCACTGGCTTTGTGAACCAATAGTACCCACCTCAGATAATGCGATTTACACCAGTGGTTCTCAAATGTTTTGGTCTTTTACATTGTTAAAAATTATTCAGGATTCCAAAGAATTTATATTTATGTGAACTATGCATATCAATATTTAATGTTAATTAAATGTAAGAAACTTTTAAAATATCATTTAAAATAAATCCATTACATGTTAACTTTTTTATGAAAAATATATTGTCAAAAAGAAAACCAAAAAAGTGAAAAAGTCACACTGACAGACTTTTCCAAATCCCTTCAATGTCTGGCTTAAACAAACAGAACTACATAGAAAAAGATAAACTGCCAGGTTTTCATATTTTCTCCTGCAATCATTTCCAAAGTGTTTGGTTGAAATATATGAAGAAAATTGCTGTTCACATAGATATGAACTTGGAAAAAGGAAGAGCATTTTAATAGCCTTCTTAGATACTAGTGCGTATTTTGTTTTTTAATACTACACCAAAACTCCACAAGAGGTAAAAACTACTTAGTGCTTCCTCAGCACTTTTCTTGGATGGATCCTTCAAATAGTGAAGCCTTGGCTCTGTAAGTCAACTCTTCAGAGAGGGAGTAACCAACGAAGCCACTTTAATCATCTTATAGATTTTCAGCATTGTTAAGTCTTATTACAGATTTGTTCTAACTCAATCTTATTACATGGAATATTTAAATATTATGATTGATGCCATAAAACAATTTACATCAGTAATAAAAGAATGTATCAAATGAAGGTTATTATCATAATAAATGTCACCAATTGGATATCATTCCTTTTCAACTTTATAAGGCATTAAGTAGAATAATAAGTGGCAATCAATCATCTACTTTTATTCATAACCTGGTATTTACAACATAATGACCTGGTCTACTTAATCAAAAGTCTGATCATATGTCAGACCTAGACATCTTGTTAAAGGGGAAAAAAAAGAGGGAAAAAAAATCAAACAAAGAGTGGAATTTACAATCCTGGATTATCCTTAGACCCCGTGGGACACTAGATAAATCACTTTACTCTCCTGAGTCATCTTTGTCATATTTAAGGTGTTATTTAAGTCATCATTTCTGTTCCAAATCTAATATTTAAAGAACTCCACAATCTAGCAATCTATAGTAAGAATAGGCTCAAAAAATTTATTTTGTAAATTTAAACTTTTGAATGACTTAGAACTATTATTTATAGATGAATTCATTTTAGAAAGGATTTTTCAGAGGGTGAAATATCAAATTTATCCACTTACTAATTCAAAATTTGGTATATTTAAATTCAGATATGTTTAGTTTTGTTAGGTATTAAATAATTGCTCCAATATTTAAAAAAAATTTTTTTTTTTTTAACGTTTATTTATTTTTGGGACAGAGAGAGACAGAGCATGAACGGGGCAGGGGCAGAGAGAGAGGGAGACACAGAATCGGAAACAGGCTCCAGGCTCTGAGCCATCAGCCCAGAGCCTGACGCGGGGCTCGAACTCACGGACCGCGAGATCGTGACCTGGCTGAAGTCGGACGCCTAACCGACTGCGCCACCCAGGCGCCCCAATTGCTCCAATATTAAAAGTGACTATATTTGCCTTTTTTTTTTCCTTTGCCACATAGGAAAGGAAATGTTACCATGCAACTGATAACATTGTGCATTTAAATACTTTGTGCCATGCAAAATGAATGCTGTTTCTGACTAATGGGGTATATGACATAGATTGAAGCATACAAAATTGTTACTTTTCCAGGTCGAAAACAGTGGAATGCAGGAAACTTCATATAGTATAAGCAAATTACTTAAGGGAAGATTAAAGACCAATAACAAGAAAATGCTGGTAAGGAATAACTTTTCTTCTCTTAAATTTTATGAGATAAAATATTCATAAGGTTTTTCTGCACTACTATTATTCCAAATAATAATGATTTTCTAGTAAGTAACAGTACCATACAAAGAACTCTAGGACTCACAGACGCTACTAAATAGGAATCCTGCCCTTAAGAGGTCTGCATTCTGATAGGCAAAATGAAAGTACGCAACAATATATAAAGCATAAAGACAGAAGTATTACAAGATAGTGTGGTCAAATACAAGATTAGTTCCTAAGAGGAAAGCATGCCCTTTGAACAAGGTAAAGAGATTTGGAGGTGAGGTATTAATTTATAATTTATAAATGAAAGCGAGTAACTACTTGGTTGTTTAACTTCTTATAGTACATAGGCTTTTAAAGACAACCGTCATGATCTCAGGCAGGCACCCTTGATAATGGGGGCAGGGAGGAGTAACACCAGGTCAAAGAAATCTGCCTTGCTAGGTCACCAGGCAGCCCATCTTAGGCCTGCAGGGAAAGCTCACTGAGGCTTTGCCTCACCTGACCGTTCTGACGACGAAGTACACCACCACCGCGCCGCTCACCACCATCAACACGGTCAGGGCCCGCTGGGTCATTGGCTTGTCGCCGGGGTTGGGGCTCACAGCAAGGCTGCCACCCAATGAGTCTTCTTCCCCGGCCTTCCCTCCTGAGTCTTCTGACGCAAGTCCTGCTCGGGGGCTGCTGCCATTGCCGCCCTCAGAGCCCCGCGGCCCTTTAGCTTCTGCGGGAGCGCGGCCCGTGGACTGGGCAACGGCGGGACCCGGAGGCACGGGCGACAGGGTCCGCGGCCCGCGGTCCGGAGGCCCGGGGTCCGGCGCGGCCTCGGCCGCCTGCAGCAGCACAGCCAAAGGCCCTCCCAAACCTGGCAGCAGTAGCAGAAGCAGGAAAGCGGAGATCAAGAGGGGACTGAGGCAGCAGTTGCAGTGCGGGGCCTTCATCGTCCCCGGACCGTCCTCTCACCACGCGGGAGCCGCCAGGCTCGCCGCCCTGGCTCCAAGAGGAACCATGGGCGCAGTGGAGAACGAAGAAGAGGTGACCAAATCGGGAACTGAGGCCCAGCCGTGGCAGGTGGTAGGGGCAGCAACAGCGGCAGCGGCAGCGGCCAGGAAAACCGGAAGTTCGTACATCTCAGCAGCCAGTGATACTACGGACGCTTTAGGTTGCTAACAAGTAGGGGCAGGCGCGTCTAATGACGTCAGGCGCGCCTGGTAGTCTGCGCACGCGCTTTGCCAGGACAAGGGCAAATCTTTCGGTTTCGTCACAGGTAAGAAAGTAAACACGAAAGGATGGTGTAAAGTGTGCAGCAACTCTGCTTGGGAAAACCATGAGAAATCGGAAGCTCATAATTGAGGTCCTTGGTGCAAAACTGCAGAAACACAGCTAATCATTGATCAAGCGAGCTTGACTTTGCCTCAGCTCAGGTACAAATTACGGTCATGTTTCCGACTGTCTCTAAGACCCTGACTCCCTTTCCTTAGTGCATTTACTTTAGAAACTTGTGATTGTAAATTCATTCTCTGCCTTTCTGAGATACAAATCCTTTTAAAATTTCTTGCCAGTTTTACAACCAAAGGCTGTATTTCTTAAGGAACATCTTTTTTTGAAATGTGATCAACAAAGAAGACAGCCACCCTAATAAGTCCCAGGCTCTGTGGAAGGGTAGGAGAGCCTAACTCAGGCAGGTCCCTTGACCAAGTTCTAAAACTACCTTCTGTCACAAAACTATGAGAGAAATTAACCACTTCCCTCCGGGAAGACCAATTAGTAAACACAGGTGTTCTATGATGCACCCTACCTCAGCTTTTAAAATCTCCAGCTGTTTCTGAGGACTTGAACTAGAATAGAGTTGTGCGATAATTTTGAGTAAAATCTTCCTTATCTGTTTAACTTTGACATAAGTAATATAGAATGTTGGTTTGAGCAGATAACTATAAACAAAAGAGGCCGGACCGCAAGCCAAAGTGAATATTTGTTCTTATTTAAAAACACTTACTTATTCAACAAATTGATTAGAAATTTTACTCCTTGATTAGCATTGTGGTAAATTATGTGTATCGGACAATAGACAAATAAGATTGGATCCTTGCTCTTATAGCACTTAAGTTCAAGTAGAGATAACACAATGAGCAGTTACATTAATTCTGAATTCTGAAGTGTTACAAATGACAAGTACAGATCTAGGGTAAAACTTTTGTAAAGGGCTTTTGTAGGTAGTGTAGATAGGATAATATCTTTTAGCCACTTGGAAGTAACAGAGTAATGCAATTGCTCCTGCCTGGTAAAATTACAGGGACTAGACATCTTAATTCTTGGTTGCAGTGTGAGGGAGAGCATTAGTGACACACCCTAATTTTAGCTTTCAACCTGGCACTTATCAGTAATAAAATGGCTGTTTGGATTTTCTATCTTCCTTGATTCACAATTTTCATCAGAGTCGTATATAGAAGAGTGTTGGTATTATATGCTCTCCACCACCTCTCAAAAACCTCCAGTATACAACACATCAACCCCCCCACCCCCCCAAAAAAGGTATCATCTTTCCTTCCTTAAAATATATCATTTTACCAGTGTGTACTTTATTTTGATTTGATGGCATTATTCTTCTCCAAGATGCTCAAGTATAAAATCGGAGTCATCCTTTACAATTGGTTTACCATCTGCAGCAGTCTTTGCCAGTAACTGGAATATACAAAGTACTAAATAATTTAAATAGCAGAATCAAATTATTGTTTCTAAATGATTAGAGTATGTCATGTTCTGATTTTTTTCCAAATATTACTCTCAGCCACCTGAATCAGAATCTGAAATGGAGTATGTTTAAAATGCAGGTTTAGGTCACTATTCCAGAAATTCTGAGCTAGATTTCTTGGGATTGGGGACAAGGACCATCTGCATTTTTACTAAGCTCTCAGAGTGATTTTCATTTGCATTAAAGTTTAAGGATCTTTTTCCTTTCCCTTGCCACATGCATCCAGATGTTGTCAAATCTTACCCACTTCCCTCTCATCGTTTTCATTAATTCTTTTTTGTGCTTCTGACAGGGAATCATTTTTTTATATTGCTAGAGCTATTATGTTGGTTATTTGGGTCCCAGCCCTTTTTACCTGTAATTAAACTTTATGTACTACTGCTGGGGTAAACTTTCAAGCTCAGATCTCTTTTAAAATAACAACACCAAGTGTATTCTTACCCAGAGATTTTTAGTCCTCAACAACAGTGAGGACTGCAAACCAGCTACAAATTATTGTGTTCTTGGAAGAACACTATTATTTCCAAAGCATAATGAAAAAAAATATTTTCAATTTCATTACAGGAACTAGGAGCAAGTTTCCCGGGAGAAAGTACTATATTTTGCTTGTGTATAAAATGACAACTTGAGCCACACATGTCTATTTAAAAAACATTATATAATTATATCAAACTATATAATGAGTGTTTCTGAATTATCACTATTAACAATAAAACTACATGTTCATTTCCTTGTTTTCATTTGGCTTGTCAACAAGTTGTGCCGACCAATAGAGATTTAGAAACATATAAGTGAGAAAAATTCTTATAACAAAGAATTTATATAAACTTACTTAAGTTAATATGCATAATGGGAAAAGGTTGCCATTATTCTGATTTATCAAGGAATACCTCAGCTGACCGACAACAGTCTTCCGTGAAAATACAGTGGCCTGCTGAGTAAAGTCTAAAGCCTACAGTCTGGTATTGAATAATGATACTGAGTACTAATTAAGTATCTATTGTGTACTAGAATTCATATTATCAAATGTTAAGCTATTATGTGTTTAATCCTCACAAAAAGCCATCATTATTCCTGTTTCATAATTAAGGAAACTGAAACACAGGATCATCATTTGGGTGAAAATCCATTTGAGTGAAAAAGAGCTGGGCAGTCTAGCAGCAGAGGGGGGCTATTTCCTCTTACATTTTTATCTTCTCCTAATTAAGAGTTTCCAATTTTTGACCCTAGCTTATAGTCTCAACCACCTTGGTCTCAAATCAGTGCTCCATAACCAATAGCAAAAAGATCTCAGTGGCATACAGCAAATAGGCATTTATTTTGCACATGTTTCATGAAGCTGAGGTTGACTAATTTAAGCTGACCTTGTATAGGCTTGGTTCCAGGCCAAAGACTGAGTTCACTTTTACTCCAGGCACCTCTCATTCTGGGATCTCATGGCCTCCTGGGTCGTGTCCTTCACAAGTCTAAGATCAGAACTTCACGAAGCAGAATGGGTGAGTGGAAAGGCAATAGGCATAATTCTCAAGGAGACAATAGGCATAATGAGAAATGAGGAGCCATGTGCATCTTTTTTTAAACGAAAACAACTGGTTACCACAAAGTCCTACCTTATGCCCTTGACATGCATTTCATTGGAAAGACATGTGTTACATGGGCACTTCTGGCTTTCAGGAATCTGGGAATTTTAATATTTAGATGGATGTTTTCTAGTCTCTAGCCAAATTGTATTTATGCTAACAAAGAAAAAAAAGAAAGTTTATATTGATATGTATTTCATTTTTAGTTCAATGTAATGGCGAGCAAGGCTCAATAAGTGTTCCCTGGTGTTAGAATCTCCTTGTCCACTAAAATGAGGGAAGATGGGAGGATGGCTCAACTGTAATAGTCATTCATAGTCATATCTGACTGAAGGAATCTCTTACCTTTTAAGGGGCAGAAACTTCCATATCAGTGGATTGTCTATATCCTGAAATCCAAAAGTAAACAGAGTCCAATTGTCCAGAAAAGAGAATATGAACTGATTACATAACCAAGTGGCCAAGAGAACTTACTGAAACCTAGAGTATAAAGGCAGAATTGGAATGTCAGTTAGACAACTAAAGAGCAATAGTTCAAGAATAAGGGAACAGTGCTATTGGGATAAGCACAGCATAACCAAGTAGGAACATGAATAAATGTTAGAATTAAGTGTCTAAAAGAAAATTACCACACTACTGGGCTATGGTTCCTGAGAGGAAAGAAAAAGGTGAGCCTACAGTTGCTCTGGACCTCTGTTTGGGGAAAATTTCCCAGCACCAATGCAGTGATCTGAAATTCAGTCAGAATATGGAAGTCTTTCTTATCTAAGGAGGCAGAGATGAATGAGAGTTTGAAGTGGTTGGAATCTGTGGGGCAGGGATTAAGAGAAGGAGTCTGTAGAGTTATGTCATTCATATGAGGGTTCCCCATAAGTCCTTTACTGAGAGCTGGCCTGGACAGCCACAGGCATGGCCCCTCAACGCTTATAGGAGAGTGACTGCTACAGAGGTGAGAGCAGAACAGAGATGTTAAGACATTAGAGTGCTGAGGACCTTGAAATTTTGGCCCAGACATACTGAATAGACCTTAATAACTCCTAACAACATGGAAATCAAGTTGAGTCACGATGAATGATAAAGGCCACACCCAGAGAAAGGCCCACAAGTGTACACAAACTGCAGATTCTTGGCCAATTCAAATTAAAGCAGGTATTAGACATTTATTTCTAGTCACTAGAGAGTGGTATTGTGTTAAACATCAAGGTAAAGGCAAATGTGTGTAGTAGATACATTAGGAGAATTTCAGAATTAGATTTTAGACTACTCAGATGAAATCAGAATGCCTATGAAGAATATTGCTTATCACAAAAAGATATAAGGAATAGTGAAAAAGTATATTATTAACTGATTTCAATTTTTAAGTGTTCATTTAAAAACACTGTGTTATTGGGGCACCAGGGTGGCTCAGTCGGTTAAGTGGCTGTCAGTTCGGGTCATGGTCTTGTGGTTCGTGAGTTCGAACCCCGCGTTAGCTCTGTGCTGACAGCTCAGAGTCTGGAGCCTGCTTCAGATTCTGTGTCTCCCTCTCTCACTGCCCCTCCTCTGCTCACACTTTGTCTCTCTGTCTCTCAAAAATAAGTAAACATTAAAAAATTTAAAAAAAACTGAATTATTAAGAGACAAACATACATTAGTTTAAGAAATATACATAGTGTATGTACATTTCCTATTCCTGTGATAAGCTGAAAATCCTTTTTCACACTAACATGGAGAGTAAATCTAGAGCAGACTTTGGGTATTAGTCATCTTGGGTCTCAAAAGCTTGGGAATAACCAGTGAGCCCCAAGCAACCCCA